TGATTTGCCCTTCTGGCAGCTGGAGAGCAACACCGCTGCTGGAGGCTAACAGCCAGGCACCTTTAGAACAGTAAAGATATTCTTTGGTGGCAGGACACATGAAAGGCCAGGACCACGACTCATCATGAGCCTTTCACCCAGATTTGTCTGATGAGCACTGCCCAGCGCCTAGAGTTTCACTCCATTCTCTGCAGCTCACGGGCTCCATTCGTAATCCCAACCTGGATTCTGATAGGTCTCCTTCAACTCCCTTCCTTCTTTCTCCAAATTCAGCCCTATTTACTTCAGCCTGTACCTCCGAAGTTCAAGTGTATATATCTGTCTGCACAGCCCTGATTGACAAGTACAATGAAAATGTCTCATTCCCATCTGGTTTGCATTTCATTACATTGGGCAACAATATGCCTTGAACTGCAAAGGACAAAGGCAAAAGAGATTTGTAAAAAGGGTTGATTAACAATAAGTATTTGTTCGTTCGCCGTTGGACTTTGAAGGTATTTTGGACTTATAAAATATTTGTCAAATTGATGGGACCATAGCAAAATCTCTGATGTGGATAACAAAATCTGGAGCTCAGTGAGCGGTTGGCGAATGCGTCCGCAGGTCCTGAGATCGTTCAGTTCAGCCCCTGAAGCCAATTAAGAGCTTTATCTTAGCATAAAAATAAAGAGGAGTTAAAAACGCATTCTTTTCCCAGCTTTCTTCCCCCTTCATTTTTTATTGCCATTTGCAGTTTTTCTTTTTAAAAGATCTGGGGCTCTAAAGAGAGGGTGGGGATTTATGTAAAGAAAGTGTCGTTTACCAAGAAAAAATGCGAATAATGGTGAGTTTCAAGGACATGTTTCAACGAGAAACACTTTGTGCTCCACTAGGGAGAGGCAGGGGCACCAAATTCAGCGTCTTGGAATAATTCCCTTCCTGGATTCAAAGATTCATTTATTGAAATAAATCAGGAAGCATTGGCAGAACGGAAATCCGCTTGCTGGGTTTAAAGGGTCTTTAAAATGTTGCGAGTGTTAGATTGCAAGTCTTTTCTAAATACAAAACAGAAGAAAAGACCGCAGTGTTTCCCTTGGACTTAAAGAAAATTGCTAGGTCCCCGACTTAGGATAATTTCATGTCCACCACCACACACACAAAAAAAATGTGTTTGGAAAGAAATCCCACATGATAACACAATGTTCTGTACACGCTTTGTTGCGGGGGGGGGGTGCAGTTGCTGAAAAGAAGGGCAAAGTGCTGTAAACCAGGGTTCTTGGTTGCAGGGAGAAATCAGCTCTACACTACTGCCCCTCAGGGTGTTTTCTTTTCCTCCTGCTTCTCCAAGATAGAACCTAAAAATCTGACTCACAAGCTTTGCTGGTTTGGCAATGATGAGTTTTTCTCTGATTTTATTTATTGCTTTAGATTTGGGAATAAAAATAAATCTTTTTCCTATTTACTGTTTGAACTCAGTGTGAGGGAAAGGATCGCATTATATTTCCTAGCCATAGAGACATGTGGGTATTTAGACCAGACCACATACAACTGGGGGATGCATAAAAGAGATTTATTAGTTAATTTAGGCTGCCTAATACACATGTAAACCCCAGTAAGCCAAAGCTGACGAGGGAGCATCGGTCACAGTGTACAATAAGAACCACGACCTGGGTTTGAGTGGTTCTGCCCTGGCCAGTGCCGTGATTCTTTTCTGCACCTGAGAAACGAACAGATACGAACTCGCTCCTGCTTGGCCCTAACATGTATGGAGAAAAAAACAAAAAGTTTTCTCCTTTTCCTTTCTCTCTCTGCACTACCACCCTGATCTCAGGCATAGCTCCCCAAAGTCCCTTGTCCCCCGAAGTTGTTTTCAGGGAATCCTTGGAAAACCAACTTTGGGGAAGAGAGGAAGCTGCATATAGAAAAACCTCACGTATTTTTTTTCCCTCACGTCTGTAACTTACTTTGTGAAGGGTGGGGGGCTTCGTTTTCTCATGTGGTGACTTGATATATCTAGAGAGATCGCTTTCTAAAGTGTTTTAAAAGTCAATGTTCCCTCTTCCAAAATAAGGAAACTCCTACCCACACCAACTGAAACAATTCGAAACGGCCTGCCTTCTTCCCAGCTTTTCACAAAGCCCTCGGTGTTCTCTTTATTCGGGGTGCGTCTGAGACCTCTGAGTCTGAGGGAGCAACGATACCTCTTCGGAACCGCACGCTCACCATGGGCCGGGCTACCGCGGGAAGAGCTGCAAGGTCCTGGATTTTGGCCTAACTGAGCCTCCTCAGGTCTGCCCCTTAACAAGCATCCCCCCCCCCACCTTCCCACTTCTCGGTTGATGATCTAATTGAATTATGCCTTTTTGTTCCAGAGACTACAGAGCGCGTGCTGGAGGCAATTAATTATCGGAATGTGGCCGTATCAAAACGGACACCGGGTACCGGGTAGGTCAGCCACTGAAACGTCCGCTTGCCCCGCGTTCGAGTCTCTTCCCCAAAACGGAGCTTGCCAGGATCCCACGGACGTTCCTCCTCTGCGGTCCCTTCCCGGGTTCCCTGTCCAGGCTCCCATTTGCATTTGCGCAAGGCCCTCGTTTATCAGGGTACCAGCCAGGACACCTCAGAAAATAGCGCGGTAGCGCTGGCATGTCCAAGGCTCTACAGCCAACATCTCCCGGTACCCAAGCCTCAAAATCCGCTTTCTCCAGGACAGGCTCTGAGAGGAAATCTAAACTTTTTCAGACCAGCTCCAGGCTCAGGGTCGGTGGAGATTGATTAAAGGTGAAAGGAGGTACAGTGAAGGAAAGAAGGAAGGAAGGAAGGAAGGAAGGAAGGAAGGAAGGAAGGAAGGAAGGAAGGAAGGAAGGGAGGAAGGAGAAATAAAGGGGGAAAGGAAAAGAAAGGAGGAAAAGCAACACAGTCTTCCAGTTTTGTAAACCTGACTCCAGGGAATTCATTTGCATGATTTAAGCATATTTATTTTTCTCTGAAACCCCCTCCCCAAGAAATCCTCTGCTGAGCAACAATGAAACCCTTCCTGGAGAGCGTATTTTCGGCAGATACAATAATTTAAGCCAGCAGTGAACTCACCTTCCAACCTGGGGAGAGATCTGGATGTGGAGGGAGATGGGGGCGAATTTGATGGGAGGGGGTGACTACGATAAATTTACCGGCAGGGTTTTCCCCCAGCACACTGGCAAAGAAAGAAGGTGAAGTGTTGGCCAGGCCGGGCAGATTGGGGGGCAGGAAGTGAAAGACTGCAGTTATAAAGCGCTGCTTGAGGCGGTCTCTCCTGGCGCCTCTGAACTTGATCAGATGTTCTCTCTCCTACAGAGAGATGGCGGCCAGGCTGTGAGGCTGCCTCAAGGCGCAGACTTTGGGGCTCTGCCCCTCTCGGGATTTGACAATCACAGCCGTCTTTTTCTTGGCCTTGTCTTTACACTCACTCTCCTGCATTCTTTGCAAATGCCTCCCGAACCCAGCCTCCTTCCCTCACACACACAAAAGTGAATTTATAACCCTGTCCGAAACTGGTCATTTTGTCCACAGAGACCGGGTGGGAAGGCGGGGGTGTGGGGGGTGTCCAACACCCGTCCCTAAAAAGTAAATCCTTAAGGGTTAGGTAGTTTCCCGGGTCACTACGTTCTTCTACCAGGAAGAGTATCAGAGAGCAAGCCCTGGCTGCTCAGACTGAAGAAAATGCCATCTCAGGGCCCCCATTCTCCCTCCCTACCTTTGCATTTGAAAATGTTGAGAATTCAAAGCTGATGAGCACAGTGATAGGGAACCACGCTGATACTGTGTCTAGTGCGGTTACTGTGGTTTGTGCGTTGTGTGCATGTTTTCTTTATACAGGATATGTGTTCTGAGTGTTTATTATTTGTGTGTTTGCTGGTATGTGCGCGTATGTATTTGCGCTATTGTGTCTAGTTTGTGTGTTTGAGTCGTGTTCTGCAGCCCTGCTGTGCTGTGTGCTTACTCTTGTGTGTTGTGCATGTTTCACGTGGTGTGCCCGTGTTTGCTGTGTGGCGTTCGTGTTTCCTACTGTGTGCTTGCGTTTATTGTGTTGTACATGCTTTCTGTGTCATGGGAGGAGTGGGTGGCGGCGAGTACCACCACTGCTCATAAACTAAAGGGTCAAGGTTTGGCTCAGATGAAGTATGGGAGACCAGCGTTAGCTGCGATCTTTTCTCTTCGTTTGGGCCTCGGAAGACTGCCGCCAGCTCGCGGCACAGGCGGTGGGTTGGCCCGGCCTGAGTCCTGGGTCCTGGGTCTCCAGGACCTCAAGAATTATAGTGGCGAGTGGGGTGAAAGCAGCGGCTGCGCCGGGAGTGCGAAAACTGCAGCGCTCACGCCGCGATCTGCGTCCTGCCGCCACCGAGGGACAACCTTCTGAAGGTGGGTCGCGGCGGGGGCCCTCGCAGGGCCGGACGTCCCGTGCTGCGCCGAAGGAGAGGCGCGGCAGTGAGGATCTTAGCGGGGCAAAGAGTTTCTTTAGCTAAGGCGGGTAAAGAGCGCGCGAGGGGTGCTTGGGGCCCGTTTGGAGCCGGGACGAAGCCGGAGCCAGGCCAGCTCCGCCCCGGTGTTTGTGGGCTGAAGCCTGGCCCCAGTCCCGTACAGCTGCGCAAACCCCGCGGAGCCCACTCGCGGACACCCGGCAGCAGCCGCCTCACCTGCCAGGCGCCGGGCAGCTGCCCAATCAGCTGCGGTCGCTCTGCCGCGGCTGCCATGTTCTCCGCTTCGCGCTGCCAATCAGTGTGGCGGCCACCAATAGGCTGTGGGGCCGGGGGTCAGGTGACCGCGGGGCAGCCGGCTCCCCATTGGCGCGCGCCGCCCGGCCTCCCGCTTGGTTTATGTGAGAGGAGTGAGTGATTGACTTATCAGTCCAAGGACATTACTCTGGAGGCGAAGAGGCTGGGACTTGCCAGGCGAACGGCGAGGATCGAGCCTGCCTGCTGCCCGCTGCCCGCCCGCCGGCCGCGATCCGGCTCCGCCACTTGGCGCAGCCCAGCGGGGAGGCCTGTACCCAGGGAGCCTCCTAGCCCGGAGGTTCCGCTCTCTCTGGGAGAGGAGGGGTACCCGGGACAGGACTGACAAACCCCGCCCTCCACTTATTATTTTGCTTATTTTTCTTTGTGCGCTCCTGTTAGTTTGTTAAACCAGATCTAGTCCTAGAATCTTTTCTCCTCCCTTCTCCCTCCTCCTTTCCCCCTTCTTCCCCCACCCCCGCTCCTTTTTCTTCCCCTCCTCCCTCCTATCCCTCTGCAGGAGACTCTCTCAGCGACGGAAAGTTGCAGCTCCTGGTAGCGCCTCAGGGGTCTCCCTGCAGTGTCCTACCGCCGCCATCCTACTACTGCACTTCGGAGATCTCCTCCTTCGCCTTCACCGCTGCCCACTTCAGCCGGATCGCTTGTGTGCAGACCGTCCCATCTATGACGATGCTCCTGGACGGAGGCCCGCAGTTCCCCGGGCTGGGAGTGGGCAGCTTCGGCGCGCCGCGCCACCACGAGATGCCCAACCGCGAGCCGGCGGGCATGGGACTGAATCCCTTCGGGGACTCAACCCACGCTGCCGCCGCCGCCGCCGCCGCCGCTGCCTTCAAACTGAGCCCAGCCGCTGCGCACGATCTGTCTTCGGGTCAGAGCTCGGCTTTCACACCGCAGGGTTCGGGCTACGCCAACGCCCTGAGCCACCATCACCACCACCATCACCATCACCACGCCAGCCAGGTGCCGAGCTACGGCGGCGCTGCCTCGGCCGCCTTCAACTCCACGCGCGACTTTCTGTTCCGCCAGCGGGGCTCCGGGCTGAGCGAGGCAGCCTCTGGGGGCGGGCAGCACGGGCTCTTTGCAGGTTCGGCGAGCAGCCTGCACGCCCCGGCGGGTATTCCTGAACCCCCCGGCTACCTGCTCTTTCCTGGGCTGCATGAGCAGGGCGCTGGGCACCCGTCGCCCACAGGGCACGTGGACAATAACCAGGTCCACTTGGGTCTGCGCGGGGAGTTGTTCGGCCGCGCTGACCCGTACCGCCCGGTGGCCAGCCCGCGCACGGACCCCTACTCAGCCGGCGCGCAGTTCCCGAACTACAGCCCCATGAACATGAACATGGGCGTGAACGTGGCGGCCCACCACGGGCCGGGGGCCTTCTTCCGTTACATGCGGCAGCCCATCAAGCAGGAGCTGTCCTGCAAGTGGATCGACGAGGCTCAGCTGAGCCGGCCCAAGAAGAGCTGCGACCGGACCTTCAGCACCATGCACGAGCTGGTGACGCACGTTACCATGGAGCATGTGGGGGGCCCAGAGCAGAACAACCACGTCTGCTATTGGGAGGAGTGCCCCCGCGAGGGCAAGTCCTTCAAGGCGAAGTACAAACTGGTCAACCACATCCGAGTGCACACGGGCGAAAAGCCTTTCCCGTGCCCCTTCCCGGGCTGTGGGAAGATTTTTGCCCGCTCCGAGAACCTCAAGATCCACAAGAGGACCCACACAGGTAAGGGGGAGAAAGTGGGTTCACCAGGGCACCCCGCCACGGAGCGGACCTGCCACGCGTGGGAGAAGGGTAGAGGCCAAAGAAAGGGGCGGCGCCCCGCAGAGGCCGTTGGGGCCGAAAGCGCTGTCAGTGCCCCCCCACCCCTCGCCCTCCCCGACCCACGGCACTTTTGCCCAGTTCTGACTTCCAGGGTCGGCCGCCTTGCGGTCTCAGGAACTAATTGGGACCTTCTCGCGCCCTGGAACAAACTGGCGCCGCCTTTTCTTGTGTTCTTTTCTGGGTTACTGTGAAGAGACTCCGAACGTGTTGAGAGTGTATTGCTTACAAGCGACTTAGCTCTCGGCACACATTCGAGGAAGGGAACCATAGAAATGCTAATGAAAACTAACTTTCAGTTACTTCCGCTCTTTTTTACACTTGATTGGCACATCTCCTCATTAAATGACTGATACTTTTGTCAAACTATTTTTATTTGGAGTTCCAGGTTCAGTTCACTCCCCTGGGAGGAAAGCAAAAGTAGAAAAGGCAGCACAGTTTCGTGGCTTGTTCAGAACATCTTGTGAAAGTGTCTGTAGTCCCTGCGTTTGTATCGTTTTCTCTTTTCGAACATGAAGTATGACTACCCAGTCTTTTTAAAACCGTATTTACCAGTGACGCTACATTTGAAAGAGGCAAATTAAAAGGTACAAAGAACGGGCTGGGCGGGATTTTCCTGTCCCTGGCCCATTGTCCTGCCTCGGGTAGGTCGCCGTGGTGGCGGCGGAACGTGTCCGCGCGTTGGGAGCCCTGGAGGGGTTGGGGTGGAACCACAAGTTGGGGAAACTTCGGAGGGGCCAGGAGCTTCCTTGTCCTGCGAGAACAAAGGGACGGTCGGGCTCTGGGCCAGCCCTGCCCCAACCCCGCCCCGGACCACCACTTCCCGAACCAGCGCGCTCAACTCACGCTCTCCATTTTCCTCCAGGGAAAAGAGATGCCGCAGCTTCCCCCAGTCGGCGCTCCCTCCCCGGGAAGACCGCCGGGCGCGCTCGGTCTCCCGCCGCTCGGCTCTGGGAAGCTCCTGACCCTGATCGTATTTCTCTCTTTTGCATTTTGGCATTTTGCAGGTGAGAAACCTTTCAAATGTGAATTCGAAGGCTGTGACAGACGCTTCGCCAACAGCAGCGACCGTAAGAAGCACATGCATGTGCACACCTCGGATAAGCCCTACATCTGCAAAGTGTGCGACAAGTCCTACACGCATCCGAGCTCCCTGCGCAAACACATGAAGGTAATTACCTCTTTATTAGCGGTCGGCGGTTTGTAAACACTCTGCCCGACTCCGGGCCGCGGAACAGAAGCGCCCGCTCTGCCAACCCTCAGTCCTGCACGTTAAATCCGATTTGCTTCAGCGGTGACACCTTGAACCCATTTTGGGGATGGGGGTGGGGACAGGAGAGAGCAGAGTTGGGAGGCGGAAAGAGATGAGGGAGCAGCAGTCGGTTTACTGGGAAGCTCTAGCCGAGCTCACCAGGACTGGAGGCTACAGAGGCCGCCTCTTCCCGGCTCAGCCCGAGGTGGGGATCGAGAGTGGCCGCGTGGAACGCGGGAGAGAATCTTTCATTTGTTCTTCGGCTTTCCATAAAACAATAGGGCCGAGGAGCGCGCTCTGGTTCCCACACATTTGTCTGTGACTTGGCATTGCCTGGGACCCCTGTGCCACTTGTTCTGTATACCTGCTTTCCCAAGTTGAAACCTGGGCCCGGGGTTACTGATTTGTAGAGCCCCGCTCAGTAACTGTTTACCCACTTTATCCAGGGAGGAAGCATTTTTGAAGTGGCATGACTAAAACAGAGTGCTTTATCCCTTTTCTCTAATGCCAGTCTTAGGACAGAACCTCGTTTTTGGCAAACATATCTGGGTTTTCTAGACATCGGCAATAGGGATTTTTTTTTTTTTTTTTTTAAGCAGCGTTTCACTTTTAAGTGGGTCACTGGGCGGTCTTGCTCTTACAGTGCTCAAATTCTGCTCTTGTTTTTGCTTGCACATTGCCAGTTGGAATTATATTCATTATAATATATACATGTTAATTTTAGGTTCATGAATCTCAAGGGTCAGATTCCTCCCCTGCTGCCAGTTCAGGCTATGAATCTTCCACTCCACCCGCTATAGCTTCTGCAAACAGTAAAGATACCACTAAAACCCCTTCTGCAGTTCAAACTAGCACCAGCCACAACCCTGGACTTCCTCCCAATTTTAACGAATGGTACGTCTGAGGACAACCAAAATGCATTTTAAAAAGAAAACTGAGACCCATCAGATGGAAATGGAGATTTTAACGCAAGAGGCCATATATAGGGCTACATCTTGTCAATTGCAATTATCCAGGAAGGTTTGGGGCAAGATCCAAAAGTAGCCATGCCCTTTTCTCAGGAGTAGAAAATACGTTTTGGCATTTGAAGGATTTTTTACAAAATCTTTTCATGGCTTTTTTCTCCCTTTCCTCTTGCTCTCTGCCCACCCCATTCTGAAACTCCTTCAGTTCATTTTAACAATTGTCCTGTTTCTTGAGGAAGTTATAGAAGGCTTGGTGGTGGTGATGCTAAAATGATGGAAATTCTTCGCCTTAGTGGTGATTGTTTAAACTCTCACAGTCTTAAACCATGCCAAAGTCCTGTTATGTCTTGAACTTTTCTTCAAAGCATTACACTTGTGAATGTATCTTTGTCTAATGGGGTCGAAACTGTTGTTCAGTATTTTTTCAGGCTGAGGATATGATGTTACTCTACACAGATTGTGACGTTTAGTATACAGTTGCCTTTTGTAATAACTTTTTTTTTGTAAATACATATCCGTTGATGCCATATTTATCGTTTGTAATTTAATTATTGCTGCAAGTGCCGGGAACTGAACAATATTTATGGATAAATGTTTTCTAACAGATCTGTACAGCTTTTGATTATAACTGCTTTAGCATTAAAATTTATTGTTTTGAAAGAAGAACACAATTTACAATTTTTGAACCGCTGACTCTTTTCTCTTGTTTTGTAACAGCCTCCTACAAAGAGGAGATGTGAGCAAATTTGAATCTTGTTTGTTGGTATTTATAACTCACTCAGATCCCTTTTTTAATTGTTAAATTATTTTTCTATTGCAGTATAGATTCCTTACAGTGTCAGTTTCCATCTGGGAAGACCTTCCTTTCTTTATCTCTAGCTCAGATGGTTAACTGCGAGTTTAAATGTGTTTGTCCTGGATTTTCGGCATGCAAATCAAATATTACTGATCAATTCAGTTAGTGGCCATGACATCTCAATCTTGTACTTCAAAAGACTGAGAAGCTGGATTTAATCATCCCTGCCCTACATATATAAACATAAGGTAACCTAATTAGTTTTATGTCCCTTAGTTCTTTATTACCTTACATAAAAATGAAAATTGTGGCAGGATGCATGTCTGTTCTATCTAGAGATCACCCATATACCTATATGTTTGTATCTATGACTTATCTAATCTGCCTACCAAATCTATCTAGCTCTCAATTTTCAAAACATAGCATATGTCTGGAACGGAGGTGATAAGCAAGGCCAGTTGAGCACTGCTTACTTATAGTTAACGTGTTTCTGAAAAGAACCATATTCCATTTAAATTTTGGAAGGCGAAGTATTTGTTTGCTGTACATAGTTCAATTCATAATTATCACAATTATTCATAACATTTACATAGTGGTGTAATAACTACTGCAGTTCTGAAATGATAATATGGAAAAAAACATTTGCAAAATGTTATTTTTAAAGTTCATTATTTGTAGGCAAAGATGTTAAGACATTGTTTCCATTAAAATCAATAACAATGAAAAATGGTTGTTTGCTTTGTGATAAAATGTTAACAATCCATTTAATCTTCAGTGAAACAACTCATTTGGACAGTTCTTTTTATCATGGTTCTGTGGAAAAAAACTATTATTTTGGGGGGTTGGAATGGGTAGAGTATTGAGACCTTTCTTATTAGGGTGCTGTTTGTTATTGAGAGCCAATCTGCATGAATAACAGAAAGGTGGAGATAAGGAATTGTAAAGTATTTAGAAATGTAATGAATAGGCTTAAGTACCTCTTTCTCTTTAAGGGGCAGTGCTTGGGGGTTTTTTGGTGGCAGTCAATTTGGTATTATATATAATCATTTTCAATTCTAGAATTTTGTTGTTCTTTTCTAAGAAATAAAGTACTGGCACATCTCATTTATGTTATAACATTTTTGTATTTGGTGCCCAATATTTTTTTCATGTTCAAATAAATCAACCTAAAATTGCAATGCTTAGAGAATTTCTCATGATTAAAAGAAACTTTGACTCCCTGGATACAGTTGAAGCAATCTATTTTGTTATCTATTGACCTTTGTTACAGACAATTAATTATGGACAGTTTCTAATTGCAAATTGCTTTGGAGGTAATTTTTTGCAAGTGGAGAATGGGATCTTTTGCTCTTTACTCCACCAATGTCCAAGCCTAAATGCCATGAAGAGATTGGGATGGTTACACAAATGATGAGCAGGTATCTGGCCAGTCTCCTACTCCCCATTCAGGCACTCCAGTCTTGACCTTGACATTGAGGGGGCTGGACCACATTACTGTGAGGCTTTTTTCTTCACTTCAAATCAGAGACCATTTACATGTTCAGCAAGTTTTCAGAAAGTGTATATTCCTAAGACTGGTTCGAAATGTATGCCACTGTGAAATCTAGAAAGTGTGCTTTTCTTCTAATTTATGCAGTGAACTTCCACAGTTTAAGAGTTTCTCCAGGAGGTCCCTCCCCATCCCCCAACCTCACCTTAAATGGAGATGGGTTGGGTGCCAAATTCACTCAGCAACGAGCCCACCCCCCATTACACGCGTGAAATACCTCCTTAGGAGACAAATAAGAGTTTCATCTTTTCTTAGATGCCTGAAATCACCATAAACTTTTACAGGAAAGCATTGTGTCTTAAGCGAGGAAGATGACAATTAAGTACCGATGATAATCAATATTAGGAGAATATAAAAACTTAGCCCCTCTATATGATTACCTCTAATTTGGGGACAGCAGATTTCTCAAAATTATGTTATATGCCCATGTCATTTTTGAAAGAGAAAACTATCGATTTTAGATAAAAGAAAAAGCAGATTTTTTTCCTCCCTAAATCCGGCTTTGGCAGTACACATTTACATTCTTGAATTTGCAGTAAATAATGTTAAGAGTTATTGAACACCCCTCAGTGCTAAAGCCCATGCTAGGCTCTTAATAATCTGCTCCTTATTTTAAGCACCTGGTACGACTTTTGTTAAAGCCCATTATCTTTTTCAAAAACGAGTGATTTAACATAGGATTCCCACTGTTGGGTGGGAAAAAGGAAGGTGACTATTTCCAAAGCTTTTTCCATGCAAGATAGAAGTGTGGCCTCCATCTAGTTGGCAGGTTATAGCTCAGCATCCAGGCCGTGGCAGTTGGTCCTAGCTCCAGGAAGGCTCTAGCTCCAGGAAAGTCAGAGGTGGGTGAGTGGCAGCCTAGCTCACAAAGCCACCCAGGGAAAGTTGGTGTGCCCTGGTCCCGCCCCCCTCTGAGTCCCGCCTGATTTCTCTGTCTCTTTAGTCTCTGACTCTCCGTTATCCTGCTGAGAAGATCCCTCAAAAACAAAGCGGAAAATGCCCTTCACCCAAGTTTCTGAAAGAATCCGGGTGCCCATCCCCCGAAAAACGTTCTTAGGTCTTGGCATCTTGGCTGACCCTCTCTCACAGGCCTCTGGCCTTAGAGGCCCTGGCGTTTGGAAGTCCGGGCTCCTGTCGGACTGTCCTCACCCCCGGGCTCTGTCCACACACCAAGTTTTTGCAACTCCGGGTTGATGCTCTAGCAGGGAGCAGGGGACCTCATTTCCTAGGGCCAATTCTCCCGCGGTCTCAGCCCGCTGACCCTTTGACCTCCACCTACAGGGCCCTAGGCGGTCATAAGCCGGCGGTCGCGGTCGCTTAGGCTCCGAGGACGCTTAGCGCCCCATCGCCTCCCGGCCTCATTAGGCCGTCGGGGCTGTAAAGCAGGAATCAGCCGCTGCCTAATCCGGACCTGGGGTCAATATGAACCCAAACAATGGTGAGCTCCGAAGGCCAGCGTAGCGCCGGCCACAAACTTTGTGTTCAGTTCATTTTCAGAAACCAGAGGAGGTGGGGAGCTGGATGGCGAGCGCCGTGCTCGTTGGCCCGAAGGCCGCTGGCCGGTCCCGGGGTTCAAGCGCGAGGAGTGGATGGCCTCGCTGCAGCCGTGGTGTCCCCGCAGCTCCTGGCACAGAGGGGGCGGCGAGGCCTGGGTGGCAACCCGCGCAAGAGCCCGAGGGCTGGCCCAACGGGGGCCGCCCCCGCGCCGGGAACACACTTTGAAGTGGGTTTTTAGCGCGCACGTGTGAGAGCCGGGCCAGGACCTGAGCGAGGACCCGCTGGGAGGAAAGAGGAGGCTCCAGTCGGGGCCCCAACTCCTCCCCCGCTCCCCGTGGCTCTGGCCTTTTCAAGCCGCGGCCGGGGACAGTCGGGCGCCCCCCGCCACTGCCGCGCCCGCGGCGCGCAGGCGCACAGCCCGCAGCCGTCGAATCGGATTTGGCCGCGCGGGGGTAGGGGGGGAGTTGAAAGCTGCTTTGCCGAGCCGCGAGGAGGAAGGGAAGCAGGGAGGGAGGGAGGGAATGAGGGAGGAGAGGGATGTGGCAAGGGGGCCGGTTTGGGGGCGGCTCTCCAGTGATGAACATGGCGGCAGGATGCGAACCCCCGTGCAGGCAGCTCGACGCGGACTAGGGGTTGCCACACTGCCCTGTGCCTTCCACTCCCCAGATTATCCCGCAGCTCCAGGCACCTCGCGGTAGGATGTAGGTCGTGGCGGTCGAACGCAGAATTGTTAGAAAAATAAAAAGCCAAAGCGGAAGAAGTTCTTCCTGGGCCTTTTCGTGGAAGTTGATGTGGCCTTTTGGGGTTTGGAGTTCCCACGGGACTGGGACCTAAAAGCCGTCACAGGCCGTCTCACCCTCCTGCCCCAATTTAAACGGTTCCCCCGAGCCCTCATGGATGAGGGATGCCCTTTGCGCTTATGGTGCTCCAGTCTGGAAACCACAGTCCCCCGTACCCCTTAAAAACGCGCAGGAGTGGACACTGGTCCCTTCTCAGTCAGTGGAGGGGACCGTGAGGAGGGGGGTCCTCAGGCACCATTTCCAAATGTAGTCGCCCTGCTTGTCAGCTTGCACCATTGGCAGCTTGCACCCTCCGTATTGCCCAGGCCCCGTTTTCTGCATATCTCATTTAAATCGGTGCTGTCTTGGCTTTTGTGTGTGCCATAACAGCTGGTGATCTTAGATTAAGAAAGGGAAAAGGCCACAATCACTAAAACTTTGATTCACCTTTTCCTTAACTGCCTCAATGCTCTTATGAAAGAGCCCTGGGTAGCTCTGGGATCTCCACCTCAGGTTTTGTCTAAAGGAAAAAAAAAAAAAATCTTGCGGGTTCGCCATCAGCTGTGTCCGTCGTGAGAGGGGAAAATGTGAGATTTTTGAAAGTGTGGTTATTGACTCCCAGCTCCTCTAGGCAAATAAGCAGCATGAACTCTTTCACGTTGCGTCTTAATGGAGAGCAACTGCCAAACAGGAAGGCAATCCCCCTTGGGATTGTCCAGTGTCAAGCATTCGGCTTCTGAAGGTGTGGGGCAGTTTCCGAGGGCCACCTTAGGAAGGGCCCCAGGTGGGTGGGCAGGTCATTAGCAAGACTGGCCCTGATCTGGGAGAAATCTGCAAAACAGTGCCTTTTTCTGCAGAGAACAATTGATGGGGTTGTCTCTCCTCCTTTTCAGTGCACAAAGAAGACGGCTTTGGAGCAAGAATTTGGACTATGCATTTAAGTTGTCGTGCTTTGCATTGGAAACCCCTGAGCAATTAAAATAAGCATGCCCTATAGTATTTTCTGGCCTTTTCTTATGTATGATTTCTGCAAGTCAAAGGGACTGGAGCCTCTTCAGCAGTTTGGAAACTTGTTTTGAAATTGCCACCAAACTGATTTTTTTTCTTTCCTATGGGCCAAGTTTCCTCCCCGGGTTCGGCCACGCCTCCCACTCCCTCAGTAGACTTAGTATATTGACATCTTTGAGAGATCAAAGGACGTAAATGGTGCTTGCTGTATATTTTTCCATGCTGTCGTTTGAACCCTGAGGTTTGAGCTTTTTCCTGGGTAAATCTCTTGATACCAAAAGTGTGCAAAATAAAATGTTCATTAAATGGGAAAAGCTTTACCACTGGTTAGACAAGAGTTTGTCCCTTTAAGCTCTACAGAGCCCTGATTGTCTCTTAAATTGACTTTAAATTCAAGCTAAAATGCACTGGTGAACTGTTTCCCCTGGATACCTGCGGTGTTCTTTGGGTCATTTGATAAGGTAAAACTGGTTGATTTTCATAGGAGCTATGTGAATGGAATTTCTGCAAAACTGGGCAAGTGATAAACTGGTGGAGCTCTTATATTTGACGACTCAAAAGGGCATTTCTTTTCTCGCTGAGATTTGGTTTCTGTCCTAACTATTGAAATGTACAATTCGAAAAACACTAAGTTTTCTGGGAAGCTTTTAAAAAGGGAAATGTTCAGATCATTTAGACTAATGGTAACTTTTAACATAGCAGCATAAATTCTTTGAAAATTAGAGAAATTCCTGTTTCAAAAAATCGAGGATAACTGAAGAAGACAACATCATTCTTTAAAAGGCATCTAACGGAGCAAGCAATTTTGTGTTTTTCATCTGATAACTGTTCAAACTGTTCGCTAATCTGATGAGTGGAGAGAAATATAAGCTTTATAGCAACTATAAAAATAGCTTTCACCACATGGCAACTATATAATGTTTGCCTTTAATAGGGTGTATGTATTGTCTAATTGCCTTAGGAAAATACAACCTGTGTAAAGATCATTTGGACATAAGGTATTAAAATTATAGATTCCATCTTGTTTTATTATAACCTAGCATTTAAATATCCATGTAATATTTTATGACATTTTTCTGTGAGAAAATGTGGCCTGTTTTGACCTATCTGCAGTTCACTTTTTGTTTTTTTGCCAGTGTTGTCCTGCTTGGTATCCGGGACAGTCTCTAATTCCTGAAGAAGAACTTGATACTGACGTTGGTATGCAGCAGCCAGCCCTCCATAACACTACCTATCCTAAATGCAGGGTTAATGCTGAACCTACTGTGCAAGAAATGATTTACTGATGAGGTTTCAAAGAAAACCACATCAATTTGGATGTCTGTTACCTTGAAATGATCATT